ACAGAGGCCAGTTGTCCAGCTCTAACTAAACTGAGCTACAGAGGCCAGTTGTCCAGCTCTAACTAAACTGAGCTACAGAGGCCAGTTGTCGAGCTCTAACTAAACTGAGCTACAGAGGCCAGTTGTCCAGCTCTAACTAAACTGAGCTACAGAGGCCAGTTGTCGAGCTCTAAACGCAAGTTCATGTGTATAATAAATCTAATAAATGTATAAAATTCACAGTCCCAATTTCCATCTACAAAACATTTCTACAAATGAGTTATAGTCATGAGTATATAGACGCCCAAAATCCTGAAATTTTCTTAAAAGCTAGTCCATACTTTCACTGAGATCGGGAGATGTGAAGAAGGCATCATAATGCCTATCATGTTGCATGGATCATATGACTACAATAATGACTACAGCACAATAACTATATGATTTCAAGTATACTGATGATCATAGATAGGATAAAAACTACCAACGGCATATATAGATACAGTAAACAGAACCTTTCACAAACCTCAGGGAAGTTTGCAATCGCTGGTTCAACAATCAAGGAACTCCAATCTATAGTAGTTCTTCAAAAAATTAAATGGCTTGAAAAACGACCCATTTATGAGTTATTTGGCGAAGTAATATTTAAATAAACGTTGTCTATGCCGAGAAAATCAAAGCTAACGTTTTTGTAAATGCATGAACATGATTTTTATCACATTATGACTATAAATGAGTTTTTTTAATATTTGACATTATGATACAATCAACTATTTTTCGCTCTCATGCATGCAGCATAACTTCTGAGACAAAGACACTGAATGCAGTAATCAATTAACTATTTTAAAAATTGTTCATTAATTAAATAATTACATTACTGACATTGGTTGTTAATTTATGATATTCATAATTTTGTATCATAGTAAATCTATTTCTCATTATTCCGAATATATAAACTTAACCCAAGCAGGCTGAAAATGGTGGCAACAACGATCATTGCCTACTTTTAAACCGAGAGAGCCTGGGTACTAATCTCTAAATATTGTGATAATCCACACCATTGAACTATAAATAAACTGGAAGGCTAACTGCTATGATGAAGGCCTATGATTTGATGAAGCCAAAATAGTTTTTCTGAGTTATGAGCAGAAATGCTTGATCCCAAACGTCGGGCTATATATCAAATTGAAGCTATTGAAAATTGCTATTTGGTGTGGAAATTTAACGACTTCAGCGAAAAGAAAAATATTTTAAAAATACAAAAACAACTGCAAAACGGCAAATTATCGGTAATTATGTTTGTAATTTTTTGATATTTCCCTTTTAGCTAAAGTCTTGAAATTTCTACACCAAATAGCGTTTTTCAATAGCTTCAATTTGATATATAGCCCAACGTTCAGTGTTGAGTATTTCTGCTCATAACTCAGAAAAACTAAAATGCACTGGCTTCAATTTCCCCCCCTGAGTTAGCCTTCCAGTTTATTTATAGTTCAATGATCCACACCCACATAATAAGACAGAGCACATTGACATTTACAAAATCTCAAAGTTTGATGTTAATCGGGTCAATATTGATCAAGATAGAGCCATTCAAAAACTCCAAAATTTACTAAGATGAATGTACTATGGTCGACCGGACAAAATATAAATGTCCGAAAATCTATACACTTCTTAATCAGTATTGATCCGAACAACATCAAACTTTGAGATTTTGTAAAGGTCAACGTGCTCTTTCTTATTATGTGGGTGTTGTATTGATTATCATAATACTTATAGGCTCGTACCCAAGCTCTCTTGGTTTGAAAATAAGCAATGGGAAGATTTTGGTACGACCGTGGTTAGATATTAGCTACCAAGATCTGGCCAAGATGATTGGATAAAATTTTATGATACTTATCAAGATCTTGGCTCCAATAAACATGATTGGAAAGATTCTTGCTGCTGCAAATGCTAAATCTGCAGACATGCATGTTTCGGCGTTCAACGCCTCGTCAGTGCAGCTTGGTACACGTCTAGATACATGATACCTTCGTATTTATACACATGAGCGTGCTCTCACCAAGCGCATGTGGTACATTCACGAAGGTAACGACGCATCCAGACATGCGCAGAGTGTATATATATATATATATATATATATATATATACATATATACTGTTGTGGTTTTTTGAGGTAAAACGAAAAACTATATATATTTATATATATATATATATATATATATATATATATATATATATATATATATATATATATATATATATATATATATATATATATATATATATATATATATATATATAATCTTACAGGATTATATAAGATCTTGCTGCGATCTTGTTAAGATCCTGCTCACTCAGTTATCGTTCAAACGCTCATTATTAATAATTAGTACAATAGGCAAATTGTCCAATAATATGTGTATATTTGATCACTCGTAGTCGTAAGATTTCCATTCCCAAGGTTCTTTTCATTAAAACAATTAAAATGTTAATTAACATCAGATATTTTATAAAGAATACTAACTGATCGATGCAGTATCTACCATTTTAAGTTTAGTATATATTGCTTAGCAGTTAACTCGACCGTATTCTGCAGTCAATAGAAATCCAATACCCATGGAAGTCACTCTGTAGTCGTATTTGAAGCCAGAACATAAACACTCCTAGTCGTGCAGCACATAAATTAAATAGCACATAAAATACTATACTATGCAGAAGATTCACTGATATACTTATACATTAATTTTAACTGAATCTGATACTCTGGGGGATTACATGCTGTATCAGATAGTTTAATTTGATCCCGTAATCCCTCATTACTAACTATACACCTGAACCCCACATTGAAGATTTTAAAATTACTTAATATTCTGTGTCGATAGTGAAGTTAAAGTTAATATTGAAAACGATCACAAAAGTCACAAGGACAATTCGAATCGAACGAACTTTCATAGAAGACATACTTATCTTGATTCTCATCCTCAGAATCAGATAATTCATTGTTGTTACTCTCGTTGTTGTTGTTGTTGTTGTTGTTGTTGTTGTTGTTGTTGTTTTCGTCTGTGTGTACAACATCTAATTTCCAGGGACAAAACAACGACAGTAGTACAGGAAGGAAGACAAGACCATGTAGCAGACCAAGCAGAACGATCGACACCAGGATTCGGAATAACAACTGGAATAACTTGGATTGAGAAAATGCTATGATAAGCAATCCAAGGAAAGTACTAAAACCTGAAGAAAGATTTTCAAAGTTATATATTTAAAGGCATACCTCGCATTTCTACCTAATATGCCGCACCAACTTAACGTGTGGTATTCAAATTGCCCATTTCAAAGTTGATTTACGCTTTTGAGAGATGGAGACTTTTCTAGATCTGTCATTTAAATTAAATAAATCACCCTTGATAATTCTTCACATCATGCTCAACTCATTCAATAATTGTTAAATATTACATTAAGTTAGTCTATACAGGGCGTGTGTACGCAATTAGGATCACGATAGTTCACTTGGGATTATGTTTATATTGCGGGGTGTTCATTTAAGGGAATTGTCCGAGGGATTCGATTGGTCATATGGCATATTTGAAACTTACATCTGTGCATTAGGTTGACATACATGCAATCATCGTGGATGACAACGACAGAACTAGATACAACTTTTTTCAATCATAAGCTTTCATGAGAAACAAACTTTGTAGCCGTATAGCGACTCTCATAACAAGGGAAAGGAGAACCTGATTCAGACCTAATGTTTTGTCGTATTTACTCGTTCATTCAGGGAACGAGAAATCTGATTGGTTGAAAATGAAAAAATGCTAATTTATGCTACAGTAACTGGAACGACGATGTAGCTCGCTGGAAGAAGTGCACAAAGTATCGGATATTTGACACCCAGTGTGAAGAAACACTTTAGATGCACGAATAAACACTTTGTCTGCCCTCAGTTGAAATTAAGATTTGTTTTACAAATTCGATTCGATGCATGGGAATCGTTTACGAATGTTGTTTAACGTTTTGGATCAGATTTAAAACGGATTACCTAACATCTTTTGAAATTGTGTTTACCTAAAATCTCAGTAACCAAGTGGGCGGTGATCAATTATCTCGGGCTGTCGGCTAGGCACTTGTTTATTTCTCGCTCGCCTCATTCCCCTAGAAGAGCAGTCTACGCTATAAAATTGGTTTTGGCAACAATGTTTTCTATTGAGGGGAATCGCGGAAACAACCGCCGACATTCTGACGCAATCCTTACTGGCTCACTGTTACATTACATAACAGATGTAAGTCTGTTACCTACAATTTAGAATTGTCGCCACAAAGTTAAACACTTGACTTACCTCCCCAGAACACACTGGATCCCACAGTTGTCAAAGCATTCACTACTCTTTCCTTCGCCGTTTTATGTGGTGACAAGATGAACGCATGCGCAATATGAGCGCTATAATCAACTGAATAACCAACGGCCATGACGAAACCCACCATCGCTAGAGTATTGAGTGGTACAGCACAGAGGTGAAGAATACCAAGCAATTCGATAACAAGAAATATAAAGTTTATAAAGACGAGGAATATGGCTGCAGGGTGGACCAAGTAAACACTGGTTATCAAAACAATTGTTAGAGATGAAAGTAAAATATTTCGCAAAGTTTCAGATGGGGTTAGTAGATACGTTTCAAAACTCAGAAATTCTTGTGAAATGGCGTATGCTGGTAATTTAGACTTCGTCTTTAGATCATTGCGTATTCCAACCATAGCGTCACACATTACCATAGTATCTGTGGTACTCTTGGTGTAGACCAGGATACGAGATGCGACGACTTCTGTCCGATTTTTTGAAAATACGATGTCTTGGTTGAAATGTCGAAATGGAGGTAGACTAAGGAATATTTTCAAAGATTTCATAAACATTTTACCATTTGTTTTTACGTTGTTTCCTTCAGACCACATTCTGAAAGCTTCTATCCATGAAAGTGAAACACTTTTATAAAACTTATTCTCTTTTGCAATGCCAGATAATTTTAATACTTGGTTCTGTGTCTTCCGCCATTTGTAAGATATCTTTTGATCAACAATTATATTCACTTCTAAAGATTCATTGTAGTAGTTTTCAAATGTTTGTAAATATCCCTCGAGGTAAGAACCTGGTTTCGCAATCAAGTCATTATCAAAACGCTGATCCAGGTTTCTGCCTGCAATCACTCCACTGACGATCATTCCTACCAAGATCAGAACAACAACAACTCTTGTGGGTGCTTTGAGAAGAAACTTCGCCCACATCCTCATGATTTTGTCTGCAAACAAGAATCCATGTCTTCGTTCTTTCTGAAGTTCTTCCTTTTCAAGTGCAGCATAAGCCTTGACTTCTGTGTTTTTTTCCTTAACAGATAAACAAGGTAAACAGTCTAATCTTCCAACTTTAATCCGTCGTCCATCCAACGATAAGGCCGCTACGAAGAAACCAACAACGAACAAGTACGAGAACGCAATACAAAATGTGGCATAGAGACAGAAATAACGTATAGCCAGAAAACTTGTCGATGTACTGATTAAATATGCAGCTAGTGTCGTCACAGTTGTCATGGTAATTGATGAACCGATGTTTGTCATAACAATGCTGACGCAACGTACAACAGATAGACCACGTGGTAACCGGTCAAATTCATTAACAATTATAAACATGTCATCAAGTCCCACACCAAGGATCAAGAATGGTAGGAATCCAACTATGCTAATGAATGGTACACCTAGCCACATACCAAAACCCAAACCGCATATAATGCCATAACTAACTGCAATGACACACGAGGTAGCAAGTAAAGCGTGGCCTTGTGTAGGTTTAACAAAGTTTCCTGAAGCCAAACATGCGAAGATGATCATGAAGAGGAATGTTATCAAAAACAAACTGAGATCAGAAATTGAACTTTCATTCACAGCATCATCTACACTTCGTGCACTGCTGTAGAACACTTCCACAGACTTTAACTGATTTTTCATTTTGAGGACAGTATCAAGGAATGCCTGTTCAAATTTCAATATGTTCTGATATTCTCTCTCATTTGCCGGATCTTTTGTAACGTATATCATTTGCAAAACATCAGCACTTTCTACACTTCCGCGTTCAATCTTTAGGCTCGTTCCAAATATTGCAGGGAAGTTATAAAACGCTGGTCGACCATTGGTCATAAGATAAGATTTATTTCCGTAAGCAGAGCTTAGCCAAGCAGTGATATTCGTTAAATATGCCGGATTGTAGTGAAATAGTTCTAGGGGTGTTATGACAATACACTGATTTCTGATAGGATCTTTCATACAATATTCTTTGTAATCTTGTAGACTTTCGATGGCACGATGCAACCGTAGAGCATCCATAAAACACTGTTTAGTCAACACGCCCTGTGGATGTTGGTTCTTTGGTTTCAATATTACCATTTCTCGTCGAAACTTTGATGAAAAATACTTGTTCGCTCTATCCAGGTCTCTCTCTGCTTGACTGTTTTGTGGGTTGTACAACTTGGCTGTATTCTTTTCAAAGTTGATGAAGATAAAACCAGTAGCAAAGAACAAGACTAGCACATGAGTAAGAAAAATGACCCACCATGGATGTCTTGCAATCCATTTTCCTGTTTTACCAAACAGTAATGAGATCCATTGAAGAAGATGTGCACAACAGCATGTCCAGAATGACAATGGATTCTGGCAATTTTCTTTTTGGTCACTACAAATAAAATAAAAAGAACTTTGTTGAACAACCTGTAACAACATATTACTGTATAGGGCCAGTACTCAGTAATATACCACCAGTACTCAGTAGAAATAAAGTTTGTACAGAGCTGAACTTTCAATTCATCCCCCAGCATGTAACAATTAAGCAAAACAACTTATAATGCGGTCAATTTACCTTGACATTACTACTTGTTTGAGTTACTATATGTTTTAAAATATTTTTCTTGGGATCTACAAAATGTAAAAAAAAGAACAATATGAGTGATTTGGAAATAAAACTGGTTATAAGAATGCTTTTAGGTAAGACTTCATCTCACGTCCTCATGCAATTATCGTAAACCTCGGAATATATTCCCACTCAAGTATAAGCCCCCCGTGTATAAGCCCACTATATTCACTAATGTTCAGGTCATTCCGAATATAAGCTTCGACCAGTGCTTACATTCGGAGGTTTACGGTACATGAACGCTATTACTTCAGAACTGATCCACGATTTAAACTACGAGCACGCTTCATTGGTAATTGCGTGGCCAGCTATACAGAGATGTCAAGCGTTTTATAATGCGATGTTTCCCAACCACTGTTTCATGGCGCTATCTTCAATTGTGCATCTTGAGCAAAGAGAGTTGAAGAGTACTGTACATTTATTGCCAAAGTGATCAATTCGTCCATGACAAGATCAAGACCATATCATACCTTTCGAGGGGAAAATTACTGACAAAAGCGTACGAAGATTCTTGGGATTAAATCCCTGCAATTTTTCTTGGGATTCTGAGATTTTTTGCCAAATTTTCAGGGATTTGGAGATTTTTTCATGCATGATTTGTTTCGAAATATTTCCCCCGTTCTTTTTGTCGCCGACCTTTTTCCTAACGCTTTCACAAAAACAGAACTTTATATAAACAATCAGAAAGGAAAAAGAATCGAATAATTAAATATGCAAAACGTAGCCAAACATGTGTTTGTCGGCATGTGATAAATTCTTGCATGAAGTATTGGAGGAGCATGAGGATTTTGTCGGTATGGAATGGATACATATAAATAGGATATTTCCGTGGATGATTTTTGTTTTGATCGGATTTCTCGATAATTTTGCAATGATGTTGAAGCTTTTATTGGTCTTTTCCGAATATTTTCTGAAATATTTATATATTCTGAAATTTATAGATTCTGGAATTTTATTAAAATTAGTAAGATTTTGGGATTTTTAAAAGATTTTTTGTGATTCTTGACGAAGTGTATACGCAAGATTTTCAGAGTAATTTACCCCTCGAATGTTCATTGTTCAGTTATGTCTATTTAGTTACTTCGATTCTCTAAATGAATGATGGAGTTCAAGATGATATTGGCATTATTAATGGACCTATTACCTAATCAACAAAATTTTGATCTAGACAAGTCTTTTTTCAGAAAGCGATACCGCTTAATACAAAATGACTGAAAAACGGCAAACTTCGCAGGGCTATATTATGCGCATTTCACAACATTTCGCAACGAAACTTCGGCATATTACTAATTTTGTAATGCTCTTTCAAGCTGTAGTGAAATTTTTGTCTAGACCAAAATTTTGTTCGTTAGGTAATAGTACACTGCATCTCGGAGTCCTATTTGGTGGCAAAAACCACCATATGTGAATTACAAATTAATTTGAAGTTCACATACCAATTCTACGGCGTGATGGCTGGGTTTTTTGTAAGAAATGTTTGAGAACTAACTCAATGTTAAATACAAAGTCAATGTTAATTTAACTACAGAGTCACTTGATAGAGAGTCATTTCCCTCAAACATTTGTTACATATATATACATGTATCCTTCAAATCGTATGCCGGATAATTACCTATGCAAAATTCCTACTGTGATCACAGAAACTTTGGCATTGCGTAAAGAAAGCGAACAATTACATTCTACCACTTAATTTCTTCCAAGTTCCCGTGACAAAGCAGTTTTTCATGCAATAATTAAATAATAGGCTCACTCTTGCGTTCAAAATAAATGTTTTAATTAAAGAGTTTACCACGGGTGGTCCGAAAGTCATTTCCAGCAGCCACTCATCCAAATCCCACGCACAAATTTTGCTCAGATGGAGTATATTGTATGGTAAATTTGGTGGTTTTCTCCAGTCAAAATAACCCACTGTTTCCAGTGTTTTGTATCAAGAAATTTCATTCATATATTATTACATGATCGTCTTCTTATATCAGCATGGCTAAATAAACAATTTAATCCTTATGTACAGAAGGTATAAAAAAGTAATCGAAATTTGACATGTTATGGTGCGTTAATTATGATATTTATAGATTTTTTTCATATTTTAATATAAAGTATTAAAGACAGGCTCACTGCGATCAAAAGTGGTCAAATAGGATCTCATTTAAAGTGGTCATTTAAAATCGCATTTTTCCACCTTTGTGCTTTGGGACAAATGGCATTTGGGAAACGTATGGCATTGCTCAGTCTCCAAACTTCATGCAGTTTTGCAAATTAAACGTTCAACCACCCAAATTCAGTGCTAAAATGCGAGTGAAAATTTTATCAAAACTTGATGCTAAAACTTTCACTCGCATTTTAGCATCGATTTTGCAGACTGAGCAATGCCATACCGGTTTCCAGATGCCATTTGTCCCAAAGTCCAAAGGTGGAAAAATTACTCATACGCTGCACCATCATTGTTCATACAAGTGACTTGTCAGACTTGAGTTTGAAAACAAAGTCAAAGTGAGAGTTATTTCATACAATTCCCAACACTCAACAGTGGAAAATGCGATTTCGACCGGCATTTTTAAATTGGATCGTCTTTGCTTATGAAAAAGTAAAAATCGTAATATGCATTGGTACGATAACATACCAAAGGCAAAATTAGATTATCTTTTTTTATACACTCCATAGAATGGGACAGAAAAACTTCTATTCATTACTTTGCTTAAATTTAGTCTTAGATACAATTTCAGCAACATCATGCAGTCATAACTACCATGTTCACATGCTTCGATCAGATCATATCTAAATATACAAGATTGATAACCTATTATGCCCAGTTAATATAATTACTCTTATTATATTCACTGACAGCATCATTAACATCGACTCCGATAGAGCACGTTCATAATAATGAGTTAAATGACAACGTTAACCATGTCTTGTAAAACAAAACCTGTGCCAAAAATTAATAGCATTGTCAATTCTACATGCAAAGTGCGGTAGCCTCAAAGCGCTGCAAGGATCATGACCAGGCATATTTTCATCAAATTAAACCTGATGGCAATGGACAATTTCATATTCATATTGCAAGCTTCTTCTGATAAAGAAATCATGAAATAGAGTCAAACACTTTGCAGTCCCTTAAATCCCGGACTTAATTGAAACTGCATGCAACTGATCAGTAAAATAAAATGTGAATTATAACTTACCAAAATATATGAAAGTTGATGTTCAATCAGGTTTTGAAATTCTTTCACCTTCGCAAGCAAAGTGTCATGTAGCACTGTTATTACAGAGAAGCGGGTTTTTGATCACATTCCAGTTCTTTGGCGCTACTGAATACAATACTGAACGTTCAGTCTATCATAAAAATGCGACTGTGTTGTTGCAAGAGTAATTACTTCATTAAAATAAGCTGAAAAGAATATTTAATAATGTTAATGAAATGTTATTAGTTTTTCTTCAAAAACGTAAGCTTCATTAATTTTGGCAATATTATTTATTTTCATGCTGCGCAGGTACAATTCACAAGTAACTATGCTGCTTTCAAAAAACGCCGTTACGCTTCAGATACCAGAGACAACTACCAGAATATATATTTTGTTCACTAGGTATAATTGTATAGTATGTGCCTTATAGATGTTTTTATTTATTAACGTTACCAGTAGTTTTTGCAGTGCTGCCATGGTTCGTATTTGAACTCCCTGAAAGACTGCAAACACTTCGAGATCATTGTCCTTCATTAGGTTGCCACTTAGAATCAGCTGCATTTTTACTGCTAGCCCGCGAATAACAGCCGCCCAATTCAGTAGCGAAGGAACATATTTTAAGTTGGCGGAGGGGGGGAGGGGCTGAAATTTGAGGAAAGCACCATTAAAACTACGGGGATCGGGGGGTGCCATTCCCTGCACTTTCTGCGCAAAAATTGAAGTACTTATACAGCAAAAATGTTGCAAGAAGTGTGTTGCAGTTCAGTTTTTTGTTGGTTTGAATAACTTGCAACTAACTAACATAATATCCAGCAAACGAAGCATAATTATTGAACTCAAGAGTTGAACTACCTGGAGATTAAAAAGAGCTCAGTGTTAAAAAAGGAAAGAAATTATATCAAACAGCAGTCTTCTATAATATCTATATGCATATAATCACAGTATAACACATGACTTATATAGGAAATCCATTCACACCTTATCTACTTTTAGGGGGACTAAGGCCCCTGTGCATAATTTTAGGATGCCCAAGTCCCCCCCAGGTTCCTACACCAGAGGGCCAATTCCGTTATTCATCATTAATGTTGCATACGCCAGCAGACTTTTCATTCAGGTAGAGCGTTAATTGTTATTCACAAACCGGACGAGAGTTTTTATTAGGAAATTTAAAAACTAATATGACATCTGTAACGTTATATTGAAAGTGTTTAATTAAAGTATACATTTACGGCTGTTGGGGGGTACACTCACTAAAATCATGGTGCCCCAGTTGTAGCGTCCCCGATGCATTTTAGCGTCTCACCCAAGCTGAATCACTCTGAATGTAATCACGTGATGTAATGGTGAATACAGACATGGGCCATTTGGTGAGACTCGGTCATTGGTGATAAGGATGTCATATAGGGATGTGTAATGTTATCTTTCCCAAACTAAACTTCCCTGTATTAAACCTGAAAATAGCCAAGCGAAATCTCCAAATAAACCTCGATAGTAGCGCGGATGAGAAAGCTCTAAATAGGATACAATTTACTAGATCTGCTGATTAATGCAAAATTGAACATGCTGGAATTGAGCATTTTAAACAATGACTTTCTACATCGTAAAGATGTGTTAAGGCAGCATCTTCCAGATACAACTTTGTGGTAATATAACTGACCAGTAATTATGCAAATAATCATGAAGAGGCGATACCCCAGGAAGATCCAGAAATAAAGTGGGGCTATACAAAGTGCGTTATTACAAGAACAGCCAAACCGCAGCTGAAATAATTTATTGATGAGAGGCATTCAACCGGTGATCCTACAACGTTGAACGAAAACGACATTAACACCAAGGACACTGGGCGCCTACACTACACAACATTTGCCTAAAACTATCGCATGCAAGCTACTTCCAACTTGAGTTGTACTGTGTAAATCAAGCACACAACTCACCAACGACAATGTCTACCAATCAAATTAACAACTTTGTTGAACAATGTCATGTTTGTCAACATCTAGGTGACCCACCATTACAACAAAACCCTCCAAAACAAACCAGGAGGACGTTTGCATATTGATTTCTAATGTCCGTTTACTAAACAGAGACTTCACTATAATGAATGATGTAGTTTTATTGGCTATTTAACGTTGATTTATGTTAATAAATCGAATTTTGAAATTTTACTTCTTTTTTAACAATAAACTACTTGTTATGCGATGCTCTCATAAAATTATGAAAGTAACTAAAATAATGAAAAATTATGAAAGTTTCCCATCTATAGTTCTCAGAGTCACGTCAATAAACCTTATGCATAATGACGTCGCTAGGCTTGATGCCCGCGAGGAATGCTGGTCTTAGTAGTCATCGCCCGGGAAAATTAAACAATTTCAAAATGGCTACTATCGGAATTTTCCCGGGCGGTGACTACTAAGATCAGCATTCCTCGCGGACATCAAGCCTTGTGACATCATTGTGCATAAGTCTATTGTTACAGAAAATTACAACAATAAACAAAATAGTAAATTTGAGTTCAATGCTAATCAGTAATTTGCTAACAAACTATCATGAATATCTGAATAGATTTATGTTGTGGTGATGAAAAAGTAAATTTTAAAAATTATTCCGATAGGTTTACCACGTTTTTTCTAGCGCAAGCATTGTCATAGCAAAGTTGTATACTTATACTGTATACGTCCAGTGTGGATTAGTTAGGTCGACAATCGCCATTTGCCAAACCAAAACTCTGAATGGCCGATTCATTTTATTCTGCATGGACATTTTGACCGATCAAAGAAAATGCGCAGTTTTCATTTAAATTAAAAGTGTTCCTTCTCTCGCTTTTATGCTTTATGAACAGTACTAATAAAATAATTTCCTTGGTTTCGCAGTGACAAGTAACAAAATCACATCACAAGTTATAGTACCATGTTACAGAAAATTCCAAAACACTAACCATGGAAAACTTTTTAGTCGTGCATGGATCGTTGGGACTGCTTGGCAAAAATGTAGTAATATGATCATGCGAGAGGTGATATTTTGATACAGTATCTCGTCAATCGAATGTCAATATTGGAAAGCTCGCTGATCATAATTAGCCAATTTCCGAGCAACAGCACAGTTGATCGGACATTTGTCAGACCAAAGCGAAATCGTTATAATCCACACTGAACGCCAAGGGTTGTACGAAGGCCAGATAGCGCTATCCACCGGATAGTGATTTTTCAACCGTTATAACAGTGCTTGAAAAGCTAGAAAATTACCGATATGGACCTCCTAATTAATAAAAAGAAACTTTAATTGATAAAGCTATAGTTTAGTCCGGGTCACCAATCAACGGACATTTTTTAAAATCTCTGAAAAGATCGCTATCCAGTGGATAGTGCTATCTGCTCGTCGTACAACCGGCCCGTGGTTTCCATGTCGTCGCGGCTGTCGTGAGCAAAGTTATTTTGCCTCATTGAACTCTATATCTGGAGCAAGAAGTTCAGTCATTCGGCCTATGAGAAAAGTGAAGCCAATATGGTGGATTTGGCGTCCAATAGCTCTGAAGGTCGTAAACAATTTTTATTTTAACATAAACGCAAACATTTTCCCCAACAAATTCGAGTTTTTTCTAACGGACCGTAACGCTAATCAAGTTTTCAGTTCATAAAATCATAATAATATAATACTTTAAATCGGAGTCAAAAAAAGAAATTTCGGGACATTCCTGGCAGCATCGTGTCCAATCGCGCAGACAGAAACAATAAAGGGACTGGGTTGACGTTAGCTGTTCAATTTCGGCCATCTTGGCTTTACTTTTTAGACTCGAGTTCTCGCTCCAGATATATATGGAGCACAGTGTTTCGCTTTCCAAACACAATGTCTCCAACTACAGAATAATAATATACACTCCGCTATTTGCATTCAACGTTGACGCGGTAGCGAAGGCTTCAACTAGATGGAAGCAATACGCTATAACGATACGTTCAACCTCATTTTTATACACAGTCGTTTAGTGTAGTAGATGGAGATGTTTATATACAGAATAGAAAAAGAATGGTCAGAAAAAATGTCATTCATGGCATGTTGATTTTATCCTGTAATCATTGCAGTTTGCTCTGAACCCTGAATGGTTTTTGTTTCTTCTTTTTCATCTTTGACACTGTCCCATTCAATTTTGAATCTTGTTACTCTTGGTTCTGAAGCAAGTATGTTTCTTTGCAGCTAGATAAAACATCCAAAAGTATTTCTGTTTCAGACTTTGTGGCTGGCTACTTCCAAAAACAGACGTATTTTTGTTTTACTGGTAATTGTTGAACCAGTCAAGGCTGGTTTATCAGAGTATCTGATTTCATCAAAACACACAAAATGGTGTAAGACCAGTGATCGTATATGGCGCAAAGACGTGAGCAGTGAAGGAAGAACAAGTGAAGAAATTGAGTAACAAGACGAGAGAGAGAATATACAGTAAGAAGATAAGGAAGGACTTGAAGGTGGCGGAACTAACAGAGAAGTTAGAGAAAGTAGACTAAGATGTTATGCCCACGCGAAGAGAATTAATACGAGTTCGTCAGATGGGCTGAGGAACGGAACAAGGAAGAGAGGACGACGGAGGATGGTTGACAACAGAATAGAGTGGAGAAAGGTGTCGAGGGGACCCGACCCACTTCAGCGGACAAACGGGATGATGATGATTTCATCAAAGAATGACAGTAGAAACTTTTTCAAAGACACAAATTTAGTTCAAAAGTCAGCGTCAAGTTTGATGACGCCACTGTTTTCAGTACCGCACACAATATCTCGCTGCCCCCCCCCCCCCCCATGCCGCTGGAGTGGGGCATATTTTTTCAGTCACCCTTGAGGGACGCTTATTGGAGGGGGGGGGGGGTTGCTTTAAAAGTTAAGGATGCTTATTTATTCAGCCATAAAATAATAATTTTGTTTCAGCACGATACAATGTATAAAAACCACGGCCAGCCAATAATTTCAGAAAATATAAAAAAGAACAAATTCTGAAGAATAGTGTCATCTTGAAATTCAAGATATGAATTAAAAGAAGACGAGCTTTTGAAACTGTACATTTTTTACTTTAAAACAAAAGCAATACAGGTAGGTTTACTTTGAAACGGAAGCAATACAGGCAGGTTATCGAATACTTATTTACAGTTAGACTAAATTTCAGTTATTTCACATTACAATTAGGCAGCATCTGACCCGACTGATATAAAGGAATGAGAATATAAAGAGAGTGTGCAAAGATAAATTGGTCGAAAGTTTGATGGTATGCAAACAGTTGAAGTTCTTTGGTATAGTTACATGAAGATTTCTAAACTGCTTGAGAATCAAATTTATAATGGGAGTAGTATCGTCATCAGTAGGAAGTCGTTGAGTGAATTGGTCCTGTGAGCTCGCTAAGTATTGCGCGTATCCACATGTCAAAAGCTTGCGTACAGTATATTGCACTTGTAAGTATTGTGTCTCCTCTGCAAAGGCTTTTATTTACGTTTTTAGTTTAACACTTCGGGCTCCATACCTTGAAAATGTAGGGTATTACGGGTAATTGATGACAGTGCTCGACAAATTACCCGCATGCCTAACAATTCGCGGGCATATAGCCTGTATAAAAGACCTCTGCGAAGGCTCATCAAAAGCTCATCTCCTTTCAGTTCATATCTTGAATTAGCCTCTCTAGGGAATCAGCCGAATCTTGAACTTCAATATGACATTATTCTTCCGAATTTGTTTGTGTTTAAATAATGTTTTATATCAGCAAAGAATAGTTTAAACACTAGAGTGTATAAATTAAAAAATAATTTAACAGAGTTTAATCTCGAACTGCCTAAAACTAATCATTTATATAACACAAGACGCAGAGATGATATATACCTCTGTAAGCCGAAGACAAACTGGGGAAAGCAAAAACTCATGCTTTACCTGCAGGCTTGTAGAGAGTACAACGATTTGAACTATATACTAGATCCATTGAACAATTAGGAACCTTTAGAATGAACTTCTCAAATCTCTATCTTTATAATACTCATAACTATTTAAAATATAACTTACTAACTCTTTGTATCCTTGTAAATATGTATAGCATCATGTATCCTATAGTCACATAATTTTTCTGGTATATCATATATATCCATATATACCAATATGTAAATACTGCACGCACACTATATAAGTATATATATTTTCTATATTTTGTATTTTAATGTTTTGCAGGAACCATCTGAAAAACACTTCTTGTGATGTTGGTTTCCTGAATAAATATTATTATCATTCATTCAACGTGTATAAATATTATAGAGTGTATATCATAGAGTGTATAAACATTACAATGTTTAAACAATGATTTATATGAGCAAGAAAATCGATAAATCTAAACAAAACACATGTACAGTATGTTTGTGCGAACAACTAGATCGAGATGGGTTGCAAATATCCGAAAAATACCAGTACAACTCCGACGTTTCAAGCAAAGGCCCATCGTCGGGAAGTTACTTTCTAGTTGATTTAGGGCCTGTTCATATGAGCAAAAGTTATCCCAGTCAGCGAGAAAACCTTTCGACAAGTTTACAAGGGAGATCTCGCCTTGGTATGAAAATAATATGAAAAGTTACACTGCGTTCATATGAGACGAAAAGTTTTCCCGTGTACCGAGATCTCGATTGTTGACAGGCGAGATCTCGGTGACCGGGATGTTTTTCCCATATGAACACAACTTTCCTGCTTAGCGGGATAACTTTCTGTCGTGTCTTTTCAATTCAATTGAATGTGCTACGTCACAGCCAAAAACCTTACCCGGTAAGTGGGATAACGTTTCTCCATATTTTATTTAAACATATTTTGGAAAATTGAGTTTGCCCCAAGAGCGTACACACTCATCTAGGGGGCTTACTCGTTAGAAATTAAAAAATACACTGTCACGCACACACGGTTTTTAATATTTGAAAACTAACACGATAGGTGTCAAGAATTATTGAAATAAAAACGTGCTCTTTCTTTAATATAAGTCTGAACATAAGAAAATATTGCCGTGTTGTGTTCCAACGACAGCATTTGAGAACCAAAGAGAAATATTTCCATAATTTGTTCATCCTTCAATCTTGACCACCCTTCGGGAAGTTTCTCGGCAGCGGAGGAGAACAGCTTAGACCTTTGGGCAGCAAATATTGGACAGTAGAGAAAATAATGTTTTATAGATTCAGTGTGATAGCCACACATGCATGATGGAGACATTTTACAACCTATGCCATACAAATATAAGTTTAGTGCACATACACCTAATCGCAAACGAGTATGGAAAATAGAAGAATGCCTATCAATTGCAAAATTTAAAATAGGATTAGGATTACATATGTCAAATACATTTAGTAGACTGTTCTTAAAGTGTGTAATTGAATCTGTAGAACGTATCTCATTGCTCAGATTATTCCATAATATTGTCGTGGAAGGAAAAAAGGCTTTCCTAAACCGTTCTGTTCGACAAGCGAAGAGTGAGTAATCTATACAATTTCTTAATTTATGTTGTGTCCTCCGACGAACTTGAAAAGGAAGTAAGTCACTTAGGTAACTGGGACTACAATTATTTACAATTTTATAATATAAAGTAAGTTTGTGAATTTTCCTTCTAGTTGACATACTTTCCCACCCTACTTCTCTCATGAGACGATGCTTGCTTGTTCCTTTCATAGCCCCTGTCACGAGTTTCGCTGCTTCATACTGAACGTGTTCAAGAAGATCGCTTTCACTTTCAGTACAACTGTCCCACAATACGTCTGCATATTCCATGACAGGACGAATAAGTGATAAATATAACTTACTCAAAGTATCTCTGCTAATTTTATATTTAAGATCTTTAAGCATGTTAAGCTTTTTATTGGCTTTCTCAAAGATATTTACAATATGGGCTTTCCATGAAAGATTTGTGGTTAATTTTACTCCTATATGTGTATGTTGTAAGACCTCCACAATTTTGTTATTATCAAAAAATAAATCTGGATGGTGGGGTTTAAACCGTTTTACTGAAAAAATAATACTTTCAGTTTTTTTAACGTTAAAAGTAACAAGCCAGCGTTTTGCCCAATCACTAATCTTACTAAGATCGTTATTCAATTTAACTGAAGTAATATCAGGAGACTCGACTATATCGAATAGTGACGTATCATCGGCATATAATAAGGGATTTGTTTCAAGATTTTCAGTTATATCGTTAATATAAACTAAAAATAATAGTGGACCGAGCACAGACCCCTGGGGTACTCCGGCATTGATATTCTTCCATTGCGAAAACTGACCATCTATGACTACGCGCTGCTTTCTATCCAATAAGTAACTCTCAAACCAACTAAGCAAAGGATCTCTTACACCGATTAACTTAAGCTTGTATAACAGTCCTTTATGCCAGACTCTATCAAAGGCTTTGCTGATGTCGAGAAACACCACTCTTACTTCCTTGCCTAGTTCGAAAGCCTCGTATATCTTATGCGTTAAATATAAAATTTGATTAACTG